AACCCTAAACCCTAAACCGAGGCCTGGAGCTGCACAAGAAACGGTAAATCCCAAAAGCTCCTTGAGGGTATACACATGAAGCGGAGCCCTTTGCTTGTGAAGCGGAACCTCATAATGGAGACCCAGGGGGGAATATAGGGATTATGTAGGGATAGTGGAAAAGAAAATGGAAGCTACTATTTAGGGTTTAGGGTTTAGGGACCCATGATTAATAAACCCCTGCTTTTAGGGGCCTTAATATAAAGATCCCTATTATAATCCCTATTAAGGGGAGGGGGTTTATTAGTCAGGGTCTGCATTGATGCTTCTTAGTCCCTGTTCCCCAGGGAAGAAAACGGATGTGGCTCTGGAAGGAACACCGTACCCCACAAGGTATAAAGCATATACTACATGGACCCCAAGTTCGTTGAGGATCAACAACCCCGAACCCAAACGGTACCAGCGACCGCCTTGGAAGCTTTCCGTTTGATGCCCGGCAGCGCTGCCTCCGAAAAAGGTTGGGCTGTCAGAGCCATCACATCAAGTCCCCTACAGCTCGTATCCTCGAACCTGCAACCTAAAAGCTAAGCTCAGGGTGTGAAGTGCATGGGCACAACAGCATATCTGTAGAACCATTTTACCTGGAGCTCCGCAATCTGAAGCGGTTCAGTGTTAGGTAGTGCTGCACGCAGAAGCTGTTGATCAATGTAATGATGGCTTGGGTTGAGAGGTTTGGGTCGGTCTATCAGATATATGGAGAAGGTCAGAATGCAAAGCCTTGATAAGCAGTCCCTCTCGCTAGTTACATGGGGATAAACGTAACAGGGATGCTAGCATTCGAATCCGCTCCTACCGGAAGTGTTGTTACCTTATCATGGACCGACGCTGCACTCAATCGAGAGCTATCTCAAATGCCAGAAGGCTGATCGGGAGGTTTCCTCGGACCAATCAGACTGTCTTGTACTGAAACAAACAACCGCGGGAATTACTGTGGTGCCGGGGTGGCCAAGTTGTGGACGCATCTTCGTGAGGAGCCTGATTTGGGCAGGTAGGTGTGTAGAGCCCGCTGATGCGCCATAAATACCCATGTCTTCAGGGTGTCCGCAATATGCACTCAGTCCAGAAACTTCCATGATTGCAGGAAGATTATACCTAGGACCTGAACTGCAGTGTCCAAGAGAGGCCACTACTGTAGAAGCTCGTTTTGGGTATGCTATGCTTTCAGGAGACTATAACCTAGAACCCTATCAAAACCCTAGACCTTAAACCCTATACCCTTAACCCTAAACCTGGCATGTCAACCCTGAGACCTGGGAGCCGGACTGGCTGTTCAGACATCAGCTTGAACCTGTCCGTAATTACAGGGTGCCTGGCAACAGCTTCATGCATTCTTGGGAGGGGTTTAGGGGTACCAGCTTCATGCATTCTAGGGTTTAGCGTTTTAGGGGTTTAGAGGCTTAGGGTTTAAGGGTTCCGGGTGCCTGGCACCTGCTTCCCCAGAGCGTCCAAGTGCCCAATAAGTGGGTTTTGGATAGTAATTATAGTAAAGCTTTTGGGCAAGTATAGGATTATTCGGTACTTGGGCCCTCAGGGTTCATGCTTTATAGGGTTTAGGGGTTTAGGGTTTAGAGGGCTAAGGTCTGTATGGTTAAAGGATAACCTAATCCCGGCAAAAAGGGAAAGGGGGATTTTAGTACCTCGCATTTTGGTGCTGGCATCTTCCCCTTTTTAACAGCAGAAGGCTACTCTAGGCAGCGTTAGGGGCTTAGAGTTTACGGTGTTGGGCTTCGGGGGTTAGTAGGGCCCCAGGTCAAGGAAGACAGCAGGCTTTTCATCCGCCCTATGACTTGAGCTTTTCCCTCAGAGTCCAATGATCATATACTTACCCCAGACCTGCACTATAATTGCAATTACCCCTAAACCCTAAACCCTAAATTACCCAAAACCCAAGCATCTAGTTATTGGGTGACACTAATCCTTCAAGGAGACCTACTTATAGGGTACTTGGGATCTCTGGGTTTGGTCAGAACCTGACAAATCAGGACCCCGGATTAGGGTTTAAGTTTTAAAGGATGTACCATGAGTCTTGGGCTCAAAGTTTTGGATGTTTTCAGAAGAAGTACTTAAAGATATTGATTTCTGGGGTTTCTGAGGCTAAGGTTGGGGGATTCGGGTTTGGGGCCTGTAGCGTTTGGATCCATGAGCCAGTGCTTCTGGCTGAAGGACTTATAAAATTGAGGGCATGTCAGAGGCTGAATTATGTAGCCCCAGTGCATGACTAAGCCCTAAACCTTGGCAATTTGTCCAATTTCTGCCCGATTATGGGTGCCAGCCCAGAAAAATTCTCAAATCGCGCATTCGCATCAGCGCCCTGATATTGGAAGATGTGCCCCGCAAAGCACTAAACTCTAAGCGCCAAACGCCTGAAACAGCTGAACCGTATATCCTGTGCTTCTAGAGGCCTCAAACTCTAAACCAGCAAGCCATAAGCCCTGAATCGCAATGCAGGATGCTTAGCGCTTTTACCCTAAAACCCTAAACCATCAACCCTAAAACCCTAAAACCCTCAACCTGAGGCAGCTTCGCAAGCATGGCCCAAAAAACTTGGAACTATTGCTTGCCCAAAGGGTCCAAGTAACCAATAATTAGGTAAATGGGTTTTGGGTAATTGTAATCATAATATAGCCTTTGGGTATTTGGGCAACAGTAATTACAGTATAGAGTTGGGGTAAGTACATGATTATTAGGTACTTGGACCCTTAGGGTTGCTGTTGCCTCTACCCTAGATGGAAGAGTGGAACCTCTCTACGTGAGCTGCAATGGAAACTCCTAGGATCCCCCTTAGTAACCCCATAGTACTTCCTTATGTAATCCCCTTGTATAACCCCCTTTGAGGAGTTGAGACTGTAGCTTACATAGCTAGGCCACTAAGGCCCTATTACCTGCATCCTCCTGATATCCCAACTAAGTTCCCCGGTACCCCCTCAATGATACAGGTCCCCTTGGGTTTAGGGCTTAGGGTTTAGGGTTCAGCTTTAAGAATGAGACCCCAAAACAACAAGGGAAAACGGGCACTACTGCGGTACCTAGGCGAAGTGAGTGGTGAAGATCTCCTCCCTCCACCCTCCGGCAGAGGGAGTCCTGCACCACCCTGCGTCGCGTATACCACAACTCGAGTTGCAAATCCGCGCCCACCCGACACGACGCATCGAAAATTACAAATCTTTGCATCGGCTATCTACATGTCAAAGGGAACCAAGCCTCTTCAAAACAGGTTATAACGTCATGCCGACACTTGCACATCAGAATGAGCTATTCCTTCATGCCCCACTCACAATGGCCAGCAAACAATTCAAAATGGCTGACACTCTGCTTCTGTATCTAGGCTACTGTCCTGCCTGGGCCTTTGCCGAATTCTGTTTGTAACATCGTGCTTCGCTTCTAGTTAACGGGCATGGCCCATGTCAAACACACATTTATTCCTGCTTCGGTGGTTTGTGACAACTGCTAACTCTAGCGAACGAGGGGCAACAGATTCCTACACCTCCCCTTTCACAAACATGCCGTGCATGACGCTGGGTCTATCAGCAGTGGGCACAGCATGGACACCTGCCGCCAGGAAAGCTTGATCGGTCTGCAGGCTTGATTGAGTTGCTGTTAAGGAACTTAAATTGAATTACAATAATGGGTATTTGGGGCTTAGGGTTAGCATAATGGGTATATACATATATATATATATAACATGTCATGGGGATTCCCAACTAGATGGTTCTGGATGTGCAAGGGGGATGTTGTCGGGATCCATTCCTGTCAAGCGCATACAGATGTTATACCTTGGCTGGTATACTACCAAACATTCGTGTTAGCTATGAGACCAAGAACAAATGTAGGGTAATACCTGATCATAACTTGGGTTTACTGCAGCGTCGTCCTCTACAGACCTTCTTCCTCCTGGCACAACCCCTTGATTTTCATAGGGGTCAGCATCCCCCCCTAAACCCTAAAACCCCATAAGGGCCAGACTGGAAATCAGAAACCGTACTACGAAACAGGATCTTCCGGGTACTTCTGTTGGGGTCATATGGCCCCTAATCCTGTTGATACTAAACATCCTGCATGGCCTTCTGCAGTAAGGCTCCTGGGACTATTTCGGGGGAGGGGGGGGGGATCTGATTGAAGATTTAGGGTTTAGGGTTTAGGATTTAGGGTTTATAAGATTCAGTTTAGGATTTAGGGTTTAGTATTTAAGGTTTAGGGTTTATGGTTTAGGATTTAGGGTGGATTAAGGCTTCTGGGGCTTTTTCGGGCTGTTCTGAGGGAAGCCCAGAGGGTCCAAATTCGGGTACTAGTAGGTCTAATAAGGTTTAGGGCCCACATACCATGAATATTATAATGGGTCCTGAAGCCCAACTATTCGGGCCCTTGGACCCGTAGGGTAATGTATGGACATCCAGGGCTGATGAGGATTTACTTCCTGTCATCATATTTGCACTTCACGGACATGTATTATGTATGTTTGTGAGTTTCCGCAAAATGTTATTGGTGCGGTGCTTGGGAACGGGACTGCAACGAGCACCACAAAACAGACGCAACCCTAAACCCTAAATAACTTGCAGAACCCCCTCTCCTCCCCTGGCCTTCTGTTACAGAGAGGGACAAATCAAGTTTTCAGGGCCCCGCACTGTCAAAAAACTGCAAGTCTCCATGCGCAGTTCCCTTTCGCAATCCCCAGCGAATCTGAACCCTGCATGCTCAGCCCAGCCGTGCCCCAGCCCGCAGCACCACACCTGGTTCCTTCGGGTTCAGCGCTTAGGGTTTAGGGTTGGTACAATGTTGAAAACCAATTATCTTAGGTGGACCCAGTAGTAGTGACTATAAGGGATAATAAGGACTATATTGGGGTCCTCTTATTTTCCCATCATATCACCACTGCAGGGTAAGGTCCGTCCTCCTAAACAATAGCTTTGTCCATGTTATCTTTACCTGGCCCCGGACGAGGGCCCCCAAAGCCCGCAAAAAAATGCAAACCATGGTGATAACGGCAATGCATCTCCAACAATGACCCAGGCACCCCGAACACGGCAACACTTTATTTATGCAGCCTCAGGCGGCGAACGTGACACGAACAGGTGGCAGACGCAATGGAACCTGGTAGCATCGGAACTTAGGAACACCAAGCAAAGAGCCAAGTAAGGAGTTTAGCGGGTTTGGTGTCGCTAAGGTCTTGAAAGCTCCAAGACCTCAACCTATCTGATCATGCAAGGAGTTTATACGTGGCTTGGTGTCGCCAAGGTCTTGCAATTCCAAGCCCACAAACCCTATTCGATCCGTGTCATCTGATCCTGCAGAGGGGTTTGCAGGCTTGAGAAGCCAAAATGCAGTGGGAGCTTTGAGGGCATCAACTGGTCCTTCAGCCAAGTACTGCTTTCTGCTCTGTTTTGGAGGAAGCTGCGGATATCCGTAGTAGCAGTCATCGCAGCAGTAGCGGTCATCCCTATGTGAACCCCCATCCTCATCCTCATAGTCTGCTCCCTCTAGTCCAAAAGAAGCCGCGGGGAGAGTAACCATTGATTGGCAGCTGCTACCACGCAGCTAAACATTAAACCCTAAATAGTAACTAGTTTTCATTTGATTTTCCATTATTCCAATATAACCCCGATAAAACCCCAGTACCCTAACCCCTGGAGTCATGCCTCAGATGGGTGTTCCATAGAAGCGGCTGTTTGGGAGCCAGCGGTTGCAAAAACAACAGCTTTGCCGGTTGGTTTTCGGATTATGCATCGCCCTGAATAAGCAATAATGTTTTAGGTTGGGCCCCCCCATCCACTGTTAGTGACCACAACAGACAATGTCAGGGTAGTATACCATCATCAGTGAGTGGGGGCCTAACCTCAAGAATATGACTTTGAGGTCTACTTCAGGTACCCGATACCATTCTCTTAAAAAAAAATGTGGGACCACAATATTGCTATCTGTTTAGGTCCTTGCCGTACCTGAAGCCTCGTGCTCTGTGCAGGGACATTTGGCAAGCTGAGTTGTCAGCCCATGGTGGAACAAGTTGCGGAGCACTGGCATGCGAAAGCACGCCCCACCTGGGCAGCAGCTTTAGGTGCTTGCATAGAGCAGAAGCTGTTGAGGGCATGTAATATGGTGCTCCAGGAGGTCTGCGTTAGGGGGGTGCGTCTGGGGCTTAGGGACCGGCGTGATGAGAGCATGATTTTGTTTTATTGTTGGTTTCTAGGCCATTACGTGATCATGTTGACATGTGTTGAGGCTTCCATATAGCTGATGGCGGAAAGGAGCAGGGTTGTATTACATAAATATATAGAGAAGCACCGCTGCTCGCTTGCCGCGGCGAACATGTCAAGCTTACCCCATGTGGAGTTTGGCCTGAAGAGTTCCTTTAAAGGTCTGGCTGTGGTCTATGTGTTCGAATGATGTAGATGTCATGAATTACGACGGCATCCTGCCAACAATGTGCAGAAGTATCTAGAGCTAGGGACAGGGTCTACACCAGGAGAAAGGTGCTTTGGGTAAGCTTTTTACCGTCAAAGGCATAGGCGCTGTGGTTAATACAGGTATGTGCAAACAACTTCGAGATTGCGGACCACGGTATTTGAAACATTGCGCAAAGACTGCAGCTGCAGTTATATTATAATCACATATGATCATAGAAAGCAACATTTGCCCATCAATTGTTTGAGTGTTGAATCGAAGGGCTCAGAAGTACTCCAGCCACAACATAACATCGCCACATAGACCACCCAGAAACTTACACATCAAGTGCCACTGCAAAAGTCGAGATGGTTACCTCAATAGGGGGCTCACTTCAGTGTTCAAATGACCTTGAGGGTTCACGCGACATGCATGAATGGTTTCTACAGATATGACCTTGAGGGTTCAAGCATGAATTATTTACAGGAATGACCTTGCGGGTTCGGGTGACATGTTGCTTCCTTACCCAGCTTGCTACAGTGGCAGCAGTAAAGTGTGCTACGCTCTTAGCCCTAAACTTTCGAACCCCCAAACCCTTAACCTTAAACCCTTGATTCAACACTTACCTTCAACTTTAAACTCTAAACCTTCAAACCCTCATCCTTAAGCTTCAACCCAAATTCCTCAAACCCCAAGGCTGCGACCCAAATCCATGTCCGGAGCCAGTGGTGACTCCAGGCACAGCTGGGGTCCTCCCCCATGTCCTCCTCTAGGTGGGGTTGTCAAAATTATGGTCCCTTTTTGAGTACCCTAAATATTAGCTGCCGTATTATACTAGGGATCCAAAAAGGGACCATATTTTGACAACCACCCAGGTGTCTTTCGTCGAGTCTGGGGTTTAGGGTTAGGGTTAGGGACGTGTACGGATAAGATAGGAAGCCTTTCTACGGGATTGGGTTGAAGCTTTGTTTAGGGTATAGGGTTTGCGGGTTAGAGACGGATCATATAAGGATGTGGGTGTTACGATGCAGAATTGGATGAAATCTATAGGGGAGTACCTCGTGAACATTTTGGCTCGTTCCCCTAAACCCTAAACCCTAAATTCCCCTAAACCCTAAACCTCCTTCGAGTTGGAGGGTTTACCGCGGAGGGCTGAGCGAGTAGAGGTTTTGAGCGTAGAGGTTTTAGGGTTTCAGGATTCAAGGTTTAAGGTTTTAGGTGTTTTGCAGAGTAGGGGCTCTTAGATGTGGGGTCAGGGGTTAGGGTTGCTCGTTTGGGGGGTTTAGGGCTTTGGAGAATTCATTGGAGAATTGATTGGGGTCTTTTGTCTGTCGGGTTTAGGGGATGAAGAACTCCGAAGGTTGGAATTGGAACCCTAAAACCCACGTGGTTTAGGGCTTCGGGTAACCCTAACACCTAAACCCCATTGAAGAATGGATTGCTGTCACGTTCGCATGCGCAAGGCTTAAGCATTGAGAGAGGTTCTGTGGCTTGGCCCCGTGGGATTTCAAGTTTTCCCAAAGGCTTCAGTATAGATTGCAGGGATTCTGTGGGCTTCAAGGTTGGGGGCATGGGAGCTACATGAGCTGTAGTCTAACTCCTTACAGGGGGTTATGCAGGTGACGATTATATGGGTTATTCAGGAAGATATTAGGAGTTTGCACTATAGCTCACATGGGTGCAAAACAGATTCCGAATCTGGGCTTCGAGGCGTTTGGTGTTTGGAGTGCGAGGCTTTCAGGTGTACAGGTGCCCCATCCAATCTAGGGTTTAGGTTTGAGGGTTAGCCAAGTACCATTACAATCAAGTACGACTACACTTCCACTTACCATCCCCAAAATCACAAGCAAGTAGCCAACAAACCCTACACTCCAAAGCCCTTAAACCCGTGTATGTCCGCATCTCCCTATACATCCCGACGTATCCCTACAATAAATCCCTTGCCTAGGGGTTGCAGGCTTGACAGCAGCTACATGATGCTCCGTTAGACTCTTCATGGGGGAATTACACACGGGTCACTTAAAGGTTCAAGGGTTGAGGTATTCCTGGTTATAGGGAAGATGCAGGATTTTTCAGGGATAGCAGATAGCGCAAGGTACTATACAAGGATATTCTCCCAATACTGAAGAATCAAACAGCGAGGAACAAGGAAAATCAAGTGGAAAACCGTGGGG